GTAGACAAAAGTGCCTCAAAAAAAAAAAAAAAGTGCAAAAGTGGAAGGCATGCGGAAGAGGGGGCGAGTATATAACAAACTATATTTTGAGTGGAAATGTTGGGGGGTCGTCTTATACGCCGGGTCGTCTTATACGCCGGCATATACGGTAGGTAAAATTAAGAAGGATATATACGTGTGAAATTAACTTACCGTAATCATAACAAATTCCTGGGATGAATGTCCCAGGCAAACTGTTTCTTAATTTTATCCATATAAAAGTTAAGATCAAATACACCCCCACACCATTTGGTCAGTGCTCCAAATTCTTAGAGCTACACTGTATTATTCCCACAACACAAGGGCAAGGGAAGAAAGCAAAGAATATAAACAAGAGGTTGTAGCAGCTTGTTATGGCTATCTCAGATGAAAGAGGAGGAACAAATGAGATATATAGGATTCCAATCCAATATTTCAAACACAGTCCTCATATTACAGGGCTCACACTTCCTTTTTTGTTGTAGCCTTTGGAATGCCTCAAATTGTACATCTGAAAAAATAGAAGTGCAGTACCCCCTTTTTCTGGTAAAATGCAAACATATGAGTTAAATTTGTTTGAATAACTGGTTGAACTGAAAATACTTAAGTGAGTCATCAGAAGCGAAAAGAAGCTAAAATATCTCTCATTTTATGTTTACTCTTCTGTATAAACAGTAGTGCAGCATATGAGGAGAAATGCAATCATAATGAGGATCTCTCCCTTAATTTTTTCCACTGTAATCCTTTCTTACTACTGTAATCCTTTTATCCACTGGCTCAAGTGAAGTAGGTAAGTAGGTTTTGTCCCATCCCCTGCTTCCGACACAAACAAATTTCATGACTCCTTGCAAAATGTCTCCTTCAAAATATGTATCAGATTGAAATGGTTAACTGGGAATGCTGTACAAATGTACTCTACGAATTTTTCACTTGCAAACTTTCACAGGTAGAAAAAACTGATCCCTAAGTCCATTCTTGAAAGTCCCAGAAATCAGAAGATCAGAAAAGATTAGTTTTTGATGCACCACAATGACCTTCACAGTGCCAATAATGCGCAAATATTGAACAGAAGTGGGAAACGATGATGAAGATGACAAAATCATTAGGCACGGACAAGATCATGGAACATGTGAAAAGTCCAGTGTCTATCCAGTCCAGAACAACCAAGAGGAAAGGAAAACTGATGGAAGAAATAGAGATGCTGTTCAGCATAATGACTGAATATTAGCATCAGTGGTGTGTACCCCTTAGCCCAATATTGATACAGGAGAAGGCTAAAAACTTGTTTCATGACAGGAGGTTGGTGAAAGCATTGCTGAAGATCGTTGGAAGTCATCAATGGTTCCTGACTTTTAAGGGTTGTGTGAACTTGCCTAATGTGAAAGTGAGTGGAAAGACAGCGAGTGTGGATGAGGATGCATCCTGGGAGTTCCTGGAATCCCTCAAGGAAATAATTGAGGAAATTGGTTATTCATCCCAGCAATATTTAATGTGAATGAAACAGGTTTTATTTGAAGAAAATGCTGGACAAATCTATACCAGCAAGGAGATGGTGATACAAGGCTTCAGCTGATGCTAGATGCCACACTTTTGGTGATTTGATTCTGAACCTAAAACTGCTAGTCTACCACTCTGAAAACCAGCAAGCTGTTGAAAATATCTCAAAGAGCTCACTTTCTGTTGGGTGGAAGGATAACAAGAATGTTTTGTCCTGGAAGTGGAGAAGTATTGCCATGAAAAAAAACATAAGAGTTCTGTAAATTTTGAATAATGCCCCGGGTAATTCACTTTACCTGAACAATTTTCAACCAAATGTGAAGGGTTGTGTACACCACCTGTCTTCCACAACCTAAGAACCAGGTAGTAATAACAACCTTCTAAAAATATTATCTTTGCCACACATTTAGGCAGGCAGCTGGGATAATCAGACTCCCAGATGATCTTGTATTAATTTTAAAAGTTGTGCAACATCTACAAGGCTGTCAGGAAAATTGTTACAGTCCCCAAGACACTGGCCCAACCCGGCTATGGCCGACACCAATCTCACTAACATGAGGCTGGTGGGGTAGGAATGGGATCTGGGAGGAGGTTATGACAGAAGGGAGGTCTACAACTGAGAAGCGAGCATGAGTCGCGGCGGAAGCTTCACCAAAGACAACTCTCCTCTTCTTTCTCCTCATGCAACCCCCTAGCTGGCTGTTGTGGGGCAGGGAGGGCGCACATGAGCAGCGATACCCTTCTCAAGCAAGCGGCCAGCCTCAGCCAAAGCACAATGAAGGTGCATGGAGGGGGCGGGTTGATCAGCTGATGGGTGAGCATCTTTGGCAAGGGCGCTCCAGCTTTCTCCAAGCCCGACCGTTGGGGGGGTGCAAGGTTTTGCGGGGCCAGCCCCCTTTTCCCGCTGCCCTAAGCTTCTTTACTCCTTCAGAGGAGTGGTATCACTGGCAGCATTAATTGAAAAGCATCCTCCAGGTGGCAAAAGTCCCTGGTGCAAGGTTTAAAGCCCCCCTGACGCTTTTCAATCAATGCTGACTGCGGTGCTGCTCCACTTGCTTGAGGGTATCCCCCGCTCGTGCACGTCCTCCTGACCCCGCAACAGTTGGCCAGGGCGTCATAGGAGGAGGGTTGTCTTTGGTGAAGCTGCTGCCGCAGGCTCATGCTCACTCCTCAGCCAACCTGGATTTCTGAAAAGTTGCCAAGAAGAAAGAAAAGGAGTAGCGAAGAGCCCCAGTGAAAACTTGCCAGGTTGGCCCAGCCTCGGCTTTCTGAGATAGAGAAGAGACAGAGAGAGACAGAGAGAGAGAGAGAGAGAGAGAGAGATGGAGAGAGAGAAAGGGAGAGAGAGAAAGGGAGAGAGAGAGAAAGGGAGAAAGAGAGAGAAAGGGAGAAAGAGAGAGAGAAATGAGAAAATGTGGAGAATGAAAGGAAAAAGAGAGAAATAAATGAAAGTGAGAGAAGGGGAGATAGAGAGAGAAAAATGAGAAAGCTGGAGGGAGAGAATTAGAGAGGGAAAAGAGAGGGAAACAAATGAGAGAGAGAAGGGGGGAAAGAAAGAAAGAAAGAAAGAAAGAAAGAAAGAAAGAAAGAAAGAAAAAAATAGAAATGGGAGCGAGGGAGAGAACCATTTCCCACAGGAAACATTGGGAGCCACAAAATCTGCGTAGATGTGGCTGGGGAGTGTCATGTGACTGGTTGGGAGTGACATTGAATTGGCTATGCCCACCCAGGTTTTGTGGCCCCAGTGTTTTCTTTTCTGTGGGAAATGGGTCCAAATGGCTCTTTGAGTGTCTTCAGACTAGACTAAACATAGCCAAATCTTGCAACTGTTCTTTGAACATTTTAGTCCCCAGGCATTTAATCATCTTAGTTGCTCTTCTCTGCACTTTTTCCAAAGTCTCAACATCAAGGACTAGGAATGACATAACAGCCTTCCAGTATTTGAAGAGCTGTCACAGACAACAGGGGGTTAATCTGTTCTTCAAAGCACCTGAGGACAAGACAAATAGTAATGGATGGAAACTTAACAAAGAGAGATCAATTCTAGAATTAAGGAGCAATTTTCTGACAGTGACAATTAATCAGTGAAATGGTTTTTCTCCAGAAGTTGTGAGTGCTCCATCACTGGAGGTTTTAAGAAACTGGACAGCCATTTATCCTGAACGATATAGTCTTTTGCTTGAGCAGGGGATTAGATTAGAAGACCTCCAAGGGTCCTTCCAATTCTTTTACTCTTTATACTTTATTTATGTCAATATCACTCAGTTAAATGACATAGTTAATAATTTAAAAAAAAACAATTCTCACCTCTAAATAAGTCAGCAGAAGAGTGACATTTTCATGTTGTTTAATGAAAATTTCGGTAAACTGACTTCCAAAATCTTCTGTTTGTTTCTGTGAATTTTCTTCTGTAACATTAAAAATAGTACAGATCAGAGGTCTCAACAAAGACAATTTAAAATAAAAATAAGGATATTAGAAAGTGAAATTGAATAATTATACATATATTTCATATTATACAAAATATTTCAGGAGTTTAGGCATTACAGTTTATAAACTTAGTAATAAATGTTAAAGTAAAACAAACTCAATGAACTAGTAAATAAACATTCAAAAATATAACAATATTCTAAGACTACCTTAACTCATTCATATACAGAAAAAGACACTTTAAGTTGAATTTCACAAAAAGGAATCCCTTAAGCAAAGAACAATTTCATCTCATTTTTTTTAAGTTCAAAAACCTCTTCCTGAATGAACCATTTATTATGTACTGCATAATGTCTGCAAGTTTCCAAATTTCTGTGGGGGGCAATTCTGAAGAAGGTAATGAAATTATAGAGAATCCTGGTTGAATGATGATTTAAGCTCAGTTATATGATGAAAACATTATTAGATGTGGATATGGATGAGGGCAATAGGATAAGGTCCTTTTAGACTCCTCAGTAATGTTTGATATCATGAACTATAGTATCTTTCTAGATTGCCTATGAAAGTTAGCATTGTCTTATAGCATTGTCTTATAGGGGTAGTACGCCTTCCAGCTAGTAGAGGATAGGAAGTCCCTAAGCCCTTGGCCTTTCTTTGGGGGAGGGGAACCATAGATTTTGAGGATAAAGGTTCATTCTCCAAGCTTGTGGGTTGGTTTCTGAATATTTCATTACCAGACTAGGTAACATCTTCAGCTGAGTTTAGGAGATGTCAGTGTTCTTCTTTTTTTTTTTAAGCAAGTTTTATTAATTTCAAAAAACAAACAAATCATCATCAACCATTACATATTTGAACCTTTTTCCATTATAGATTTAACAAGTCAGATAAAACCTTATCTTATACAATACATTTCTATATTATTTCATCTATTTCTTTCTGACTTGATTATCATCACTCTCTTTCTATGTTTCTACAAGGTTTCACCAATACTCTCAAAGACATAAACAAACACAAACATACATATAAAAAATCTTTTAGTAAAGTAACTTGGCCCCAGGTACCTCTCTTTATATGGGCTTTAATTATATTCATGCTCATCTTACAGATCATTACTTATTTTATTTACCATTCTGTATCTTCCATATAAACTTCTCCATACATTTCACTCTTCATAATTCTCTTTTATTCAATCCATCTTAATTTAAATCATTATATTTGTATCTTTTGCCCATCCTTTATTATCCCTCTATCTCATTCCTTATAATGAAAAAAAAGAATTTCTCCTGAAATCTCTAATCAGAGTATGATGCCTTTCTATCCTCTCCCTAAATTAATTAAATTAACATTTAAAATAACACCTAATACCCAATTTGATTCTGCTTGGTACATTCTATCTACTAATTTTTACTTTTAGTAACAATAAAAACAGAGTAAAAAATCAAAAATGTTTAAATACATAATATCCTCCTAAATACGTAGTTAAATAATAAATCTAAATAATAAATCTTATAGCATTCTCATTGCCTTTCCCTTCAATATTTTATTACATTTTAAAAATCAATCATTATTAAACATTTCAACATTTTAATTTCTTATTAACTCTTAAGCCATTCTAATTTTCTATTTCTAATACGGATGTTACAGTACCATCTTGTGTACCTTGCAGAATCTTTTTTAAAAAAAATTTATGCTTTACCCATTATCCCTAAAAAGGATTCCTCTTTTCCCATCTAATTTTAAAACTTTGTGGCTTTTCTCCGCCTTTCCCCTTTCTTTCTTCCCCCACCAAATCTTCCTACCCCCCCTTCTTCTAACCTCTGTCTTGCCGGCATCCCTTCTCTGTTGTATTCCCCTTTTCTCTTGTTTGCTATCATTGTATTTATTTTGCATCATATTTTTCTCTTTCTTAAATATTTTTTTAGATCTTAAGTCCTTCATTTTCCTCGCTTTCTTCCTTCCTTCTTTCTTAGATGAATTTTGGGATTCATTGAAGATGGCGTCTTCATCTTCTTCTTATTGTTCTTCAGCTTCCATCTGTATTGTCTGTTCATAGTTAACCAACGCCATTTTTAAAAAAAGAAAAGCTTTTTCCATACCATCTTTACAGGCTGCTTTTGTTTGCTCATATTCATCCCTCAGTTCCTCCAAAGAAAAAGTCATTATAGATCTTTTCTTTTCTTTTTCCCTCTTTCTTCTCACACCAACCAAAATATTCCAAAAGAAAAACAAGACAACCCCAAAGTCCACAATCCTCAATCAATCCAAGCCAAGCCAAAATTCCCCCTTTCTCTTCCAGGGGTAGTATCAGACAAAGGAAAAAAGAAAGTTCAAATCTGTGTTTTGAAGCCTTATTAAGATTTTATTTCTGTTTTCAAATCCTTAAGGCATCTCCTCCAACAAAATCCAACCAGATAAATATATTTTTTGTCCTCTTCCTTCTGACTTATCCCAAAAAGCTAGTTTTACCTGAAAAAAAAAACAGGTTTCTCAATATCCATTTATTAATTCCGTCGGGGGGGAGAGTAAACTTTCCTTTCAGCACCTCAGAATTGCCGCTTATTTCCTCTTGTGGAAAGAATCATCCAAAAAGCCATCATTTTCAGGAATTAAATTAAATATATCTTAGAGTCCTGGGTCAACCAAGAAGACTTTCACTTTTTAAAAACTTTCTCCTCTTCCTCCAGCGCATACTTGCCCAGCTGCCGGCTTCTTTGTGGCGGCCATTACGGACCGCCGCTGCACCGTCTTGGTAAAAGTAGGTTCTGCCGGCTAGGGAGGGGGTCTGCAGCACCCCCAAACCCTTTCCCGGATCCCCCCTACCTTCAGCTGCCCCTGCAGGGCAGCCTTGCTCCGCACCCTTTCAGGTCGGAGCCCCAAAAACGGCTAGCGCGGCAGGGATCGCGCAGCTTCGCGAATCCCTACCGCTCGCAAAGCCGACAAACCGGAAATCCAGGAGATGTCAGTGTTCTTCTGTTTATAAGGGCTTCAGGTATGGGTGTGTCAGGTGAGGGTCTTGTGATGGTCAGTTGTGAGTCATCAGTGAATCTTGTGATGGGTCTTGTGATAAGGAGTCAGGATCATTGGGAAGTGAATTGCTGATGGGAGTGGCTGCGTGAGTTGGTTGAGGACTGATGCTGTCTCTGGTTGGCTATGAAGTTGATTTGGATTCTGTGGAGTTTGTAGGTTGGTTGTAGGTCAATGAGTCTGTTGATGGAATTGCTTGTGGAGTGCCAGGCTTCGATGAACTCACAAGCATGGCAGGTGATAGTGTAGCCAATGATTTTTGTGCTAATACTAACTAGTAACTAATACTGTTTGGTGTCGGTGTGGGCAGAGACTAACAAAATGTTCAGAAACCAACCCACAAGCTCAAAGAACGAAACTTTATCCTCATCCTACACCCGAGCTACAGATATTTGCCACTATTACAAACCATAGATTTTGTTGGTCAATAACCATATGAAACTGTTGGGAGAAGTTGTCCATTAGTTTGCAATGGATATTAGGCGCAGTGATAATTTAAGATGTAGAAGATACTTGTTATGTATCCCTGACCTAGGCCAAGCAGGAGGTATTCTGGATTTCTTTGTTGTTTCTGATATCTATAAGGGACTGAATGGGATGAAATAAAATCTAAACAAGTTCTAGTAATACTGAGTTTATTATTTCATGATTGAATTATTATAACTCTATTCCAGACCTTGAAGACTTAGAAACTAGTTTGTTCAGAAATTGTCAACTTGTTTGTTGGCAAGTATGAACCATTACAGCAGGATAACGTCTGTAGTTTAGATTTATACTATACAGTATAATATACAGTAGGTTTCCATATATAAGTCAATGTCTTGGGCATGATCTATAAAGCCCTTTAGGACACACATTCTTTAATCTATTGGATTATGTTCTTTAAACTGAATCTGTCCTATATATTCAAATTGCAATAATGGGAGTTAAAAGCAAGTAGTCTCTGCAGTATCCTTCTAGGATACTGCAGAAATCATTTGCTTTTGGCCTTGTGGTAGAGCATTCCCTGGGAGTTCAGGATGGCTTCATGCTGTTTGCTTTCAGGAAGAAAATAAAGATAGTTCTTTTTCACTGTACATTTGGGAACTAAGTACGAGTTTTGGGATTGATCTTATCCTAGAACATGATATATGATTTTAAAAGAGCTGTAGTGGCACAGAAGTTAGAATGCAGTATTGCAGGTTAGTTCTGCCTACCGCCAGGAGTTCAATCCTGACTGGCTCAAGGTTGACTCAGCTTTCCATCCTTCCGAAGTCAGTAAAATGAGGACCCAGATTGTTGAGTATGCTGACTCTGTAAACCGTTCAGACAGTGCTTTAAGCATTATGGAGCGATATATGAGTGCTATTGGTATTATATATATTTCATCTAGTACCGGTATTATAGTTATTAATTCTATAATTTACTTTTATGGATTTATTTTTGTTGTGAAGTTATGTTTTATTATAGATTATTCTGAAGTGTGATTTTTTTCCACTCAGAGCATTCCCAAGTTTTTATATAGGACAGCACATCTATTTTGTGATATATCTGAAATATTTTCCATTACTTCACTGACTAGTTCTAGATTTCAATTGCTATGTACCATACAGAACCCATATACAAAATTGCACAATATATTCTATATTGAACTAGTATTGGGGCCATATGTAAAAACCAACTAGTATTAATAAACTCAGTTTCTCCATTTTTAATAAGATTGAATTCTTATTGTTTTTGTTTTGTCAACACTTGTGTGCATGTAAAAAGTGCTAAAACTATTTTCTAAAATATAGCATTCTTTTTCCAAATGGGTAAGTGTTGAGAATAATTAATACTTAGAAGTACATCTAAATGCATCATGCTAATATATACTCTGTTTCTTTTACCTTCAGAATCATCTGTAAGTGCAGAGGGAGAAAGAGAAAGCTTTAAAAAAATAAAGCAACTTCTATTTAATATTGCAAAGAAGCACAATTAATTTTATATCACTAATGTTGAAAAGAATACAAATTGGTGCTAAAAAGGTATTTACTCATATTCTTTTAGTAGTTAGAAGGAAAGGCTTAAGATTTTTTTCCCTGTAGATGAAGCCACTCCCTTCACATACACAGTCTAACTTCAGCTGACCGCTGACCATAGTATAACTTCTTTATAGTATGTAGTCCTTGGTCACTAGAATTGTCTTTCAGTAGATGGGACTGTCACTGACTGTGAAAGGCTCTAAGTCTTTAAATCCAATTATAATTCTTGGTCACTGAAGATGGAACTGAAAGAACAAGACACTCTAGTATGCTCAGGGAGAGTTAGTTCAATGTTAAACATACCCAGTCTTGATCTATGGAGCCTCATTTTATTATCTTACAATATTTGATGTATGTATATGATTCAGACAAGATCAATACCTTAAAAAAAATAGAATTTTCATTCTTTGATGTTGCTGGCACTCTTGAGTAGACATGTTAAGGAGTGTGATGACCCGTAGTCTCTCAAAATAACCCAAAACCCAAAACATATATTAAAGTCCGGTACAGCCTTCATCTTAACTTCACTGTTTTATTAGGCACAGTTTAAAGTCACAAAAGTAAATAAGGAGGCAAACAGAAAACCAAAACAAACTGCATTGATGAGAGTTCTGAAGCAAGCCGAGATAACTACCGTATATACTCGAGTATAAGTCGACCCGAATATAAGCCGAGGCACCTAATTTTACACAAAAATCTGGGAAAACTTATTGACTCGAGTATAAGCCGAGGGTGGGAAATGCAGCAGCTACTGGTAAATTTCAAAAATAAAAATAATTAACTTGGGAAACGATCTCACTATCATGAAAGGTTTAATTGATTCACTAACCCAAAAGAAGAAGATGATGATGACAGCGGGAGGCAGGAGTCACTCTCTTCCCCTCCCTCGGAGGCCCCCTGAGTCAGGAGTCACTACCGCCGGCGCGGCCCCAGTCCCGCCGCCTCGGGAAGGGAAAGGCAAAGCGCTTTTTGCCTTTCCCTTCCCGGCTGGGGCTGTTGGGAGTCGCTGCCGCTGGAGGCCGCGACTCCACACCATTTTTTTTTCAGAGGGGAATCTGACTCGAGTATAAGCCGAGGGTGATTTTTTCAGCACAAAAAATGGGCTGAAAAACTAGGCTTATACTCGAGTATATACAGTAATTATAAACTTCAGGAAAATAGCCGAGAAAAGTCCATGGGAAGAATGCCAGCAAAGATAAGCCTCTTTCAAGGAGAACACTGACTTCAGCAATTCTAACTGCGCAGTTGGAAACTTATATACATAGCTCCCACCTGCAAGCCATGAGGAGGATCATGGTAATCTCTTCTTGAGTAGACCTTGCTTTTCCCTTATCCTCTCCTCCCTGCATGACCTAGGATGGATAGGGGATGGGCTTGGATCCTCCTCTGACTGCTCAGCTGGCCTCTGCCCTTCCCCAGCCTCCTCCACCACCTTTGGAGCCACACTCCCACCCCTGTTGGCTGTTCCTCTTCTTCCTCAAAGTCAGACTCCACCAGGGGCATGACAAGGAGACTGGGCATGAAGCAAAGATCTGGTCTTAGCACCATCTTATCTTGATATTTTTTCCACAGAGAGCCCCTCATTCTATAACCTTCATAGTTAATATGGCTACCAAAAAACAGGTGAATATGCTTTTGGGCATCTGCCAAAATAGGTTTGGTAGCAGCGAAACCCTAAGAACCAATTATAGAGTAAGTTTCCTAAGGGAAGTGTTGAATGATTAGGAAAGTGAAGATGCTGACACTCTTAGGAAAGGATGCCCATCACCCAATCAGGACATAGCTTTAAGTGGCAATCAACTGATACAATGCAAGCCTTTGTCAAGCCTCATGTAGATGGCAAACCCAAGATAGGCAGGATAAGAATGTAATAATAAAACTTGAAAGTTAGTTCTCAGGCAGACTTATAATAAACCAATTAAGGGAGGATTTCTGGGCTGTATTGCTTCATCTCACACTTACTGAACTCCTCTTCCTTTCCAGTAGTTCTCATAATCTCCCAGAGCCCTTACACCTCTCTCCCATTTGTAGGAATCTTAACAGTTCCAGGGTTACTCGTTCTGGTGCCATAAGTCTGTCTTCTGTGCTACCAAAAGCATGCCTATCAATTAATAGATGAGCCAAGTATCTTGAGATTATGATTTCCTTTGGGTTAATGTTGACTCCCAGATGCAGGATCCGCTACACCAGTATTCTCCCAATATTGGGAAAGACAGCACATTTGAGCAATTTACAGTGTTTTGTTTCTTATTGGGCCTATTCAATAAGAATCCAATCCTTTGCATCAACATAGTACTGTGAATCTTTTTATATTATTTTCTTTAACATGAAACAGTAAAAAACAACAAAAGGGTATTTAAAACTGGCAATTTTAAGTAAGGTAAAAAGAAACACACAATGAAATATGGTTATCAGTAAAACAAAATAATTTGTAACTAGAATGAAATGAGAATCTTTAATTTTAGAAATTCCAACATAATCACTTTACTTATTTTGAGTTATACTCATTCAAACTGATTTCTGTGACCACTATATTTCTTGAATTTAAAACAATGCTTTCAGATGCTGCTCATTTCACTCACACTACATTAAAAACAAATCATGCAAATCCATAACAATAGTTACGAAAGATTAAAGCAAAATTATTTCTGCAATAGGAAAGAGATATTGTATTAGTTTTGATGCAACCCTAAATTATGATCTATAATTACATGAATGTGCCTTCATAAGCTTGGGGCACCACACTCTATTCTTTTCTCACTTCCTTATAACTGCAGTAGATAAGGTTAGAAGGACTCAATATATTCCCATCCAATAGCCATTTTGCAAAAATGGAGTGGGATAAGGATGAAATCAAATTCTGGATTATAACTTTTTTTCCCCTGAAATAGTCATAGTACCTCAAGTTCATATACAGAAAGCCTTTTTTCAACTTAAAACTGGATTTATATGCATTACATTTCCTCTGGCCATTATAGAGGTGACAGCAACTGAGCCAAAACTTAATGCAGACTTGCATATCTAAAGCTGATCACTTTAATTTTTTAAAAAATATTTCACTGAATTAAATAAAATTAAGTAAAATCTATTTGTTAAGGACATATTAAAAATCAACTACTTAACCTTGTTCTTCCTCTTCCAAATCATTGGACATGATATTGCAGAGGGTATCCAAAGCATAGCCGATTATTTCAGAATCTGAACTATGAATAAAAGGACAAACTCTCATTGAATAAACTGCATATAACACTAACATTACAAATAATATAATTAATCTCTGATGTCATTACAAGGCTTATTGCAAAGCCTTGGTTTGGAGTATGTTTAATACTTGATAAGGAATATGTTCAGGAATTCTACTACAGGTAGCCTTTGCATACTGACTGCAATAAGAACTGACAACCCTGCACTACACAATGTGGTCTAAAAAGAAAAATCACAATACTATGCCTGACTTATGAGGGCAGTGTGATAGTTCTGGTTGTGTTGTAAATGAATCAACAGTGCTTATTAAGCACAATTTCATGTGACCATGATTTGTGACTTCCTGCCTGCCTGCTTCCTCACTGACTTTCCTTGTTGGAAGGCAGCTGTGAAGGTCACAGATGAGAATTATGTTACTGTGGGATGCTGTGACCATCATAAATACGTGCTGGTTGCCAAGTGCCTGAATTACAATCAAGTGACCATGGCGCTACTACGAAGGCTTCAAGGCCAGTTATAAGTTTCATTAACTTCAAGGCCAGTTATAAGTTTCAGTATTCATTATTCAAATTGTCGCTGAACAAATGATGAATAAGCAAGAAACATCTGTCCTAAGCATTCAAGATCAATTTGTTAGTTACACTGATAGGTCCTGAAGCTTCTTGAATTTACTATAGTAGAATTATACTCCATTATTGCGGAAAACACTGGGCAGACAATGATCAATTTGATTCTCATGAGTATATTTCTTATGTTTTAATCATAATTCAATTTCATAATTCAAGATTTACATCTGGAAGATCCTATTTGTATATTTTAAAATCATCTGGCAAATCTTACCGGTCTGTTTGGAGAACATGTATAAGATGAGACATAGCTTGAATCCCCACTTCCAAATGATATTTCTGCCAAGAACAGAACAAGTGTTTTTTTTAAAATATTATAATGTTTTACCAAACTTTAGATGCCACATGCAAATGACATTTTGTTAGAAATATATTTATATATACCTTTGAAAGAGATTTCAGGGCACGTACAGCATCTCTGCGATCATCAAGTAAGGTGGAAGATGCCACTCTATCACATAATTTTTGAATCTACAACAGAAATAAAATGATTCAAAAACTAAGATTCTAAAATGTCAAAATTTCAGATTTTCTCAGATAGAAATCAAAACTAACCATGGTATAGTTCACGTTACAGTTCAAAAGAATATGAATTTATACACAATTTTATATAAATATGTATTCTTCATTTGAAACTATATGCTTGATCAGGGGTATCAACCTCAAGACCTGGGGGCAGGATCCGGCCTGTGGGGTGCTTAGATCTGGCCCATGGGGCTACCCTGGAAACAGTGAAGGACAGGCCTGCGGTGCCTTTGCCAGCAAAAAAGGAACTCGGGAGGGCAGCACACAGCCCTCCTGAATTCCGTTTTCACTGGCAAAGGGTTGCAGGAAGCTGTCAGAGCTGAAATAGAAGCTTGGGAGCCCTTTTGCTGGCAAAGCGTACTGGCCACCACAGGCGCCAACACAAGTGATGTTGATCTGGCCATGCCCACCCTGGACCCCCAAGGTCAAAAACAACCATGATGTGGCCGTCAATGTAATTGAGTTTGACATCCCTGTGCTAGATGGATTCATACATACAGAAATGCAAAACTACAGTACAGCATACCTGATACTGACTTAATGTTTTGTATGAATATATCGAATTGATTTCTTTGAAGAAAAAAAGGTTGAATCACAGTTTAAAGTAATGTGCAGACTTAATTAAAATTATTAAATAATCATTAAAATTATTATTAGATATTAGTTCTCCATTTCCAAGGAATATTCTTTTATCTATTTGTTAGATTTAGATTTCACTTTTTTTTACAAGAGTTCCAAGATGGGATATATAATGACACCTTCTATTTTCACATTCAACATGAGATATATTGGCTAAGAGAGTGACTATCCCAAAGTCACCCAATCAGATTTCATAAGATAGCGTGAATCTGGGACTCACTGCTATACACCATCTTAAGCTCTACATCAGCAGTCTTTCAAAATGTATTCATTTCAATTCAATTTTCAATTCAGAATTTTTAAAGGACCTTGGAGGTCTTCTAGTCCAGAGGTCACCAACCTTATGGACCTCAGAAACTACTAAACTCATATTTTGAAATCCTGCGGACCACTAATATGATCTGCCTAATGACCAGATGGGTGTGTGTGACTAGGTGATCATGTGACTGGGTGGGCATGGCCAACTTGATGTCACTCACGTCAAGGCTTCAACTCACCCCTCTCCTCCCAGCCACTGATCGCCTGCCTGCCCGGGTCCTTTAGGACCCCAACAGGAAGTAGTTGTTGAAGCTAAGCAGCCAATCAGAAAGAGTTGGCAAAACAGCTGGCTCAGTTCAAATTGGATCTGACCGAGAAGGAGGCTCAGCAGAAGCACTTCACTGAGGACTATGAGCATAGGCTTTCCAAACAGAGGGAACACTTGCGGGAGTGCAAGGCCAGGTACCAGCACCTGGACGTTCAGTGGAGCACCTGAGATCGACAGCCATTCCAGGCCATGATGCAGTCCCACTGGAACAAGGCCCTCTGGCTCTTCACCACCAGTGGCACTTCCCTCCAGACTTCACCCAAAGCTCCGCACCAGGAGGCTGAAGCAGACCCCAAGTCGGAATTTCTGCCTCCCTCCAACCCGCACAAAAAGACCCTGAAGGAGGAGACTCTCTGCAGCAACACAAACATTCATTACACCTATCCAGCCCAGGGGCCATAGTTTGAGGACTCCTGATTTAGTGCAAAATAAAAAATCCAAATAATTTTTCTACAGATCACCAAAATTTTCTCACGGACCATCAGTGGTCCATGGATCACCAGCTGGTGACTGCTGTCTAGTCCAAGCTCCTGTGCAAGGAGACCCTATACCATTTAGACAAATGGCTGTCCATTATCTTCTTAGAAACCTCCATTGGTAAAGTACCCCCAACTTCTGAAGGCAAGTTGTTCCACTGGTTAATTGTTCTTTTGCTTTTGTCCTTGATTAGTTTCCATTGATTATAATATATTTATTGCAAAGTTCTTTGTGCTGGCATTTAAAGGGATTTGCCTGTTTATGGTCACAGCCATACTAAAGCTATGAAACAGATCAGAAGATTTATAATTGGATTCTCTTTTTCCTCATACAGATATAAGTCTTACATGGAACCTAAGCTTTAATCCTCCATCTTTTAAAAACAATCATAACAAACACATTTCAATAGAAAAAAGCAAGCAACAATTTTTTATTTCTAAATCATTCTAAGAAGATAAATTCATGATAAGCATATGTTTGCACCTTGCAGATAAAAACAACTGGGCATTACAATGAAAGCTTACCAGACAAACAAGAATTAAATAGTCTATCTTTATTCATTCATCTCAGACTTGAAACCTACCAACATTTTTCCCCAGGAAAAAAGGATTCATAAAGCCATTTAAACCTCGACTGTTCTGAAATATATGCATTATTAATTACAATTGCTTTTTGAATAGTACTTGTCAGTACTTTCCCTATCAGCTCAGGTCCCTGTTACCTGTGAACCATCTACTCCAGGTAGAATTTGCCCTTCTAATATGGAGGGAAAGCTTATGATTCCCATACACTGAAAAAGATACCCTTCTCAAAAAGAGTTCCCTCACTCAGGAATGGCTTCCCCCATAGATTTTTATCATCTTAACATTTAGAAAGGCAGAACTATTATTTTGCAGAAACATTGGTGAAAAAACTAAGTCAGCAAAATATGCTCAGAACATAGGCAAAATGTTGTTTCTGCCTTAGATATTATCAAAGGTCACAGCATATTATCTTCCACTCAACAATCATACTGAGTTTATTTTTCAGTAATCCTATGTGGAATCAAAACATTGTGGACCAACTGAGAGAAATGCTTCCTGCTTATTTTTTTAGTCATTATGTTTAAAATCAAGTTATAAAAAGAAAAAAATAAGTAACAAAAGCAAAAAACTATGCGCTATTCTATTATCTCTTTGTAATTTACTCTAAAAAGGCTCTTGTATTCCTTTACACATATGCACTAAAATTCAGCTAAAAGTCATGTACACATTCTCTAGTAGTAATGTTACATGGTTTTTTTTATAATTACGGAGGCTTAGAGCATATAGTGAAGAGTTGTGTTGTCTTTGAGGTGCTTTAATCAGTTCTTCAGTGCAGAATATTCTAGAAAGATGTGAATGTAGATATTAAAATATAATTGCATTAAAAGGCAGGATATATGGAAAACATTACAATCCACCTTTTAGGAAATTGTATTCTCTGATTTGCTTATTTATTTTACTATTTTACTACTTGTAGTACTTGTGAACTTGTTAAATGCACACTTTATCTTCTACTTTATATTAATAATTATATTAATTTCAGGGGATTGTTTATTTTTAGCACCTTGTTTTTCAGTAAAATAATCCCAAAATAGAGTAAAATAGTATTTATGAAATGCATGGGAAAATTTTAGAATTACAAAATTTAATATGTTTTAAAAATTAGAATCCAGGAGTTCTATTCAATAAACACACCTGGGTTGAAACTTAATGGTACTTCATGGAACAATAGGCTACCTATTGAAAATATAACCAACTATCTGTATAAATCTTTATTTAATTTGCTGTATTAGGGAACATAAGGTAGCAGGACGTGAATGCTATGTTGTTAAAATAATGGCAAATCAGAAATTACTGTAGATTTTTTTTGCAAATAATCCAAATCCAAGTACCAGTATCTTGCTATCACCCCAAATCACAATGCTCATACTTTTCTTCTGAACACAAAACATGACATATTATTGAAGACACTACTATACAAATAAGGTACAGCAACTATGAGGAAAATATGGGAAGCAATTTGTTAGTGCTCTCCTCTAAGTCAATTCAATTCCCACACCATATAACATATGTATTGTTAGCAGAATATAGATGTGATTTGCTTTACATACCTTAATTCTAGGATTTTTTTTTATCTTATTTTTATTTTTCCAGCTTGGTATAGCCCTAATATATCTTGGTAGTCCTACATTAGGTACTAAGAAAGGTTGACTTTGCTTTGATTTCTTTTTAGGTCAGCCAAGTTTGGGTAGGTGTTACCATTTAGCTGGGCAAAAAGATACATGTTCAATACATATTTCAAATAATTTTTTCAGGTCTTATGTGTTCTTACTGCCAATATTTATAAATTCAAAAACTTTTGCTCAAAAATGTATACTGTACATGCTTTTAACAAGCTCAGTAAATAAATGATTTTATATTCATAATTTATCAACATGGGGACACAAATGAAAATGAAATTCTTTCTTAGGAAAACTATAATAATAGAATACCATTTCAGCTGGCTGCTGAAATGACCTTAGATATTTAAAAAAAAGGGGGCATACAGACCCACTGGGCATTTATGCTTTATAAGGAGCAACTGCAGCACTGATCCTCAGCTTACAGAAGCTAAGGTGGCAAATTAAGGAGAATAAATGGAAATGGCTGAAATTCAGCTATTCCATTCATTGTTTTCAAAGCTATGCTTAACAGTATTTACCAGGGTTTATCACCCCAGTGTTTCATTGTGATATATTTTGTCTACGTGGACACAGCCTCTTTTACATATTATTATAAAGAAACAGGTACAACACAAACGGGTTACTTCGAAGGTATCTTCATCCTCAAGCTTCTGTCAACGCTCTGCAAAAGCAGCGAAAACGCCACGCCAAGGATACAACGTGGGTCTGTAAAGCAGGGCTTTTGCCGGGAAGAGGGTCCTACGAGTCACCATGCAGAGAAAGAGTCCTAAACCAGGATTTTCTTCGCCACACTGTACAACTTACCGTGTCAGCACCGGACGGCTGAGGTCCAGGGTTCTGCCCGCCCATGACGCCCCGTAAGAAGTTCATCTTATCACCGTGACCACTCTCCCAAGGATCCTTAGGCCGCGACTCCCCACTAGGTCCCCGTCAACAACCGTCAGCACTAACTTCAATGCGCTTGCGCCAAGACGTGGCACCACGGTAGCCACCATAGAGATAGAAACCAATATTTTACAGACAGAACTTCCGTTTTCAGTAGATCTTTTTAATTTTATTCCAGTGGAATGTTGTATGCGGTATAAGGCATCTTGGTTTTAATCAAATTCCGAACGTGGAACCCACGCGAACGTGTTCTCTAAAGCAAAACATTCGGCTTTTATATTGTTTCATTATTTTAGATATTCAACATTTAAAGTGCAATCAAATCAATGGAAAGCAAGGCGGTTTTGCCACTAAATTCTGAATTCCATATTTGGCTAGAAAAGAAAGCATTGGAGCAAGGTTAATGAAGATTGACCTTTTCTGTAATATTTTTAATAACGATTTGGCAAATAGAAATTCAAATTAGAAATTCAAATGTATTATTAAGACTATTCTTAAACTGTTGCCCTAAAACATTGAGGTTACACCCCATATGCAAAACAGGAGACAGTCGATGTTTTAAAAGTTAAAAACTAAAACTCTAAAGTTCAGTCTCTGAACTCGTCAGGATATGTTTAATTACTCCGTTAACTTTCGTGGCAATTCTCGAGAAGGGAAAATGTATTCCGTACAAAGAGATGAAATACTATAAATATTAATGTCCAAAAAAAAAGACCAAAAATGTAAATGCTGTGAAACAGTTGAAGAACGATGAAAAAGCAATAGGAGATAGTGTAGCTGAAACAACACTAAAATATAAATAAGGTTAGTTTATCAAGTGTAAATATGCAGATCAATGATGCCATAGTGTTGATTATATTGGTAGTTAATTTTAGATGGATTGCGTGAGAGAACAATATGGATCTGAAAATTAATGTAATAATAAATAGATTAAAAATCAAGGTAGTTGTATTTGACTGGAAAATGAACAGTTTCAATTTACATAGAAATAATGAAAAATTACCAAGAAAATTAACTTGTATTCATCAAAATGTTTACTAAAGAAATACCTAGTGAAATTAATATGATAAAAGAGTGGATAGTATGTAGTTTATTACAGGGAATGGACATTGAAATAAGGGAAAACAACACAAAATTATAGGGCTGGAAGGGAGGCCCAACCCCTGATCAAGACAAACCTTATAGCATCCCGTTCATGTAGTTATCCAGTCTATATTTGAAAACCTCCAATGATGGAGCACCCACAACTCTGGGAGGCGAGCTATTTCATAGATAAATTATTGTGAGAAAATGTCTCCTAGATTGGAGCTCTTTAAAAAGTGCCCACCCATTACTTATCCTGCCCCTTGTGCTTTGGAGAATACATCAGTTCCCTCTTAGTGAAAGCCCCTTAAGTACTAAAAAACAGCGTGTATAAGGAGGTGCTTCTGTTTACTTTGTTATTTGTAATTAAAAGTTGAATAGAACAGCAGAAACAGCACCCCAAAAAAAGACAGTGCCAGAAACCTTACATCACCAGAAACCTCAGAAAACACTGCCAAGAGACTCAAGCCAGCCCTTCCCCTTTAAGAAAGTCTAAAGCAAAAATCCCAACCTCAGCTGATTGAAATTCTAAACATGCTGCCAAAAGCCATTAACTTTTTTAGTTAACTTTGTTAATAGAAATAACAAAGTAAACTAAAAGTCTGGGCTACTGCCAAAGGCTAGTACTAGGAATAACAAAAACAAAACAAAACAAAACTGGACTATGAGGCAGATCCTGAAAGTACTCAAACCAACTAAAAATAAGTCACCTGGAACTCCCCTTTTCTTGGCAGAATTAACCCCCAGGATAGTTAACAGATTGAAGTTAACAGTTAACAGATAATCAGAGTTGGAAGGGACCTTATAGGTCATCTAGTCCAACCCCCCACCCCACCCAAGCAGGAGACCCTACACCATTTCTGACAAATGGCAGTCCAATATCTTCTTGAAGGTCTCAAGTGATGGCGCTCCCACAACTTCCGAGGGCAAGCTGTTCCATTGGTTGATTGCTCTCACTGTCAGAAAGTTTCTCCTTATTTATATAGGAAAGACAAAGCCGCAGGAACAGGATTAAACCATTAAAGCAGGAAGACAGAACTCAGAGCAACCATCTTAACTAAAGGCACACCAAATCTCATCAAACCACACACACTTCAAAGGGAAAATGGGTATAAAAATCCATATACTTATCATACCAATCTGCTTGCAGGCCAGGAATGCTTGAGATGTGTCACTACTTTCTTGCCTTTCTGAATTAAAGGATCCCTTTTCTGGCAGCTGGCTTCCAGGTCTATTTCTTCTCAGCATCAGTGACTGCTTCCCAGCTGGGAGACAAACTCAATAAATTTATTCCAACACATTAAACTAAAATGAAGTAGAAATAGGAAATGTACAAAGTAAAGCAAAGGTTCTTTTAATTATATCCAATTTGGTGATCTCAACACAAAATAGTTTTAACAACCAGGGTACTAACTTACCAACTGTGGAGATTCATTTAACAACTGTGGCAAGAAAGGCCCTAAAATGGGATAAAACTCACTTAACAAATGTCTTGCTTAACCACATAAATTTTGGGCTCCCGCTTGAGCAGGGGGGTTGGACTAGAAGGCCTCTGAGGTCCCTTCCAGCTCTGATTGAGCCAACACACAACTATTCACAAGCTATTTGTCATTAGATCACTCTTCTCATTGCTACTTTGTGAGTTTTACTACTACTCCTGTCCCATTACTCTTTTCGAAAACTGTTAGAGAAAATTATCACTTTCAGGCTTTACTCCACCCACACCTTCCCTCTTCTTTCCCCCTCCCATATAACACCAGCTGTTTCTCAGCACTGCTTTTACATATAAAATTGCATTGCTGGTTGGGGAGAAGGTTTGAGGAGGTCAGCAGTATAGGTGCTGGACATTTTCTAGGCTGTTTCTTTTCTTACAGGAAGAATGAAAAAGAACAAAGTAAGTGAACTGTATTCTCCAATAAAGAAATACATAGATAAGTTAATTTGGTAGAATAGAGTGGATAGTATGTAGTTTGTTGCTAGAAATGAATGTTGAAATAAAGGGAAATGGGTGTGTCTACTTTTGTATATAATGGTATATTTTTATTTGTAATTGAAAGTTGAATATATCAAACACTAAATTAAAATGAAATAGAAATAAGTTGAGAAATGTGTCTGGTAAAGCAAGAAAATTTTGAGTTCAGAGAAAGAAGAAAACTTTAAATGATTGGCTAGAGGTGAGAATGTTAAGGAATAAAATATGGTGTATTAACTGATAAATGAATGTCTGTGATACAAGCAAAGATAAATTGTAGGGAAAGGGAGAAAATGTTATTTTAAAGCAATTACAATTGAATAGAATAGCTGCCTTTTACAGTGTAGAAGACAAAATATTTTAAAACTGGAACAGCTAAATACAATTTTTGGTGGCCTCTGTAATTGACTGCCAGTGAGACAAAGACTGCATCTTGAGATGTCCTCTAAAAGTGGCTAATAGAACAATTTTGTGGCAGTTAGTGGGTGTTCTTGTCTATGTCTTGGAATAGTGCACACAGAAAACATGGTAGTTAAACTTGAGAAACTTTATTAGTGCATAAATATTGATATACAGAAAGTTCCGGTTATTTAGAGATAAAGAAAAAATTGGAGTTACTTTCCTCTATTATTCTATTTCTACAATTTGCTAGCCAGGAGACTTTGGAAACAGAAATGGTGAAAGAGAATTTAAAACATTTTGTAGCTTGAGCACCAAATAGTTCTGCAGAAGTCAACTAAGTCCCATCTCATGGTAAGCAGCAGGGGAAACGGGAAAGAACAGTCAGGAAGGAGGCAGCAAGGAGGCAAGTCTTGAGCAGTTTGGATATAGCCTGATAAAGCCATATAATGCTACTTTCTCTTAAGGTATTATTCCATCTCCAGCGCTCAGCTTTCTTTAACTAAAATATGATTTTGGACTTGGCACTCTCCCAAGGTCATATTCTGAATCAGCAACTACTAGCAATTAGTAATTATTGTATTCATAGACAACTGGCAGCCTGTTGCTTTCTGAACAGCAGGTGGAGAGTCCACCTGGTTCTCTTTTTATCCTCACAATCAGAAGTTAAGAGTCAATAACAGTTGGATATGAAGATGAGCCCTTGAATTGGTGCTCAATAAAATTGTGGGAGAGCTGCAAAAATCTAATGGATGGCAGTAAACAAGAGATTTATTGATAGAAAAAGAAGTGAAAGGGAAGCAAATCTCATTCTCGTTGCTTTTATTTTTCCAAAGCTGCTGAAGGATTTGGGTTGGAGTGGAAATATTCCTAACAATCTATACCCACCCTCCACAAAGATGCTTCACAAAAACACCATGTTTCTCCCTCACCCTGTTATATCACCACCAAACACTTGTTGGAGTCCTCAACACTTCTTTTTCACTTCAGCGAAATAGACTAAGGGCAGTACAGAGTATGGTTATGCAATGTCTGTCTTTGCCTGGGCCCAATTCAATGAACAGGTAGACCCCTGAGTCAAAGACTTCCCTTCTAGGTGGGTGAGCCACTCCATCCTGTGTTTCCTTCACAACTCATCTGGTACACCTGTAAATTCACCCATGCCATAAAATTAAAGTCACTTATAATCTGAACCATTTTAGGGAATATTATACCTTTAAAAAATTATGCTTCTTAAACTATGGAAGAATCTTTTGAAATAGGTGATTAGAAAAATAACAGCAGGTAATAGTTTTCCTGAATACTGTTACCATTTCTTTTTTAAAAAGTTGTTTCTTGACTGATTTATTCTGAAATGACTGAGTATAATTGGACTTATAAAATTGCAATATTTGATGAATTTCACTTCTAAAACGCTGTGGTATAATCTTTGTTTTGTATTTATAAATTATTCAATTTTGAGTTTTTTTCTCCCTCAGGCATTTGGATAATAAAATGGGTAGGGCTACAAGACTTCAGGATATGATCATTTCAGAGCACTACAAAAATAGGTCTTTAAATAGATTAGAATTATGATTTCAAGAATTCCATTTTGCCTCCCAGATATGAAAAATCCTCATCGGAACCGGAAGTGAGGTCTGCAGACCTTTTTTTTTTTTAATATCTCTTAGAAGGGAATCTCAGAAAATCCCAAAGACCATCATAGCTCGGAGGCTCCTCTGATTGCCTGCAGGTGAAATAGTGAAATTCTTGTCTCTGGAAAACAGCGGAGGAAGGAATTCATATATAGATACACAAGCAAGCGCGGGAGAGAGAACCAGAACTTCCGGTCAAACTTAAAAGCTGCTATTACCCCATTAACTTAAAAATACTCTGGTATCCTTTGCTCTCACTGGAGCGGCCTCTGGTTATAATCGCCACTCCCCCCACATCTGGCCGCTTGTGAAGGTTGCGCGCGCCGCGTGCTCTTCCCTCCCTGCCGAGGGCGCGCTAGAGACATCCGGTTCCGCCCCGAATCACCGTGAAGGAGGGACGCGCGGCATCAGTCGCTCCTCCCCGTGCCTTTGCCTGGGAGCGAACCGGACCCTGAGCTCGAAGACAGTGTTTAGGTGGGTAACGGAGTAAGATAGGATGAGAAGGCCCTTCCCGGGAGGAGGAGACTTCTTTTCCTTTGAGAGTATCGGGATGTTATCTCTACAAATCAGAGCAGGTTTTCCGCTGGGGCGCTTTACGTTAAGGAAAACAGGGATGTTGGGGGTGCGGGGGGGGGGGGGGGGGGGGAAGAGAGCTGCTGTCAATAGCACGCAGGCCGACTTCGTGGTCCAAGGAATTTAGGAAAGGCTTATTTTATTCTTTCCTACAAAAAGATCACAAAGGAGAAAATAGAAATTCAAAGCTCCTTAGACAGCTTATAGAATATCTAGAGCTGGCCTTTGAAAGCCATCAGAGTATGTTGCCTAAGAATACATGCATACGCAGATCGTTTGAAGACCCTCTATTAAATTGTATTATGCAAGTCTTCTAATCAAGGAGAACAGCCCTATAAGGTAAATCAGTATTGGGTAATAGTGTGAATTTATTTCTGGTTGATTGCTGCTGATCACTATGCAAACTAATTTCACAGGTGAAAGAGATATTGTGTGCTTATATTCCTGGTTACACAGCTAGGGTTGCTTCCTGGGTGTGTTATATGCTGAAATACACATTTCTTGAATACTGTTTTTCTTCCTCTATAAATATAGTAATTTAGTGAGCAATAGAAACAATCCTAATAAGATGACATTTGGAAGATTCAGAAAGGCCTAAATTTGTCTAAAATTTTATTAAGAGTGATTATAATAGAAACCACAATGCTCTTTTTTAAAAGTCTCCTAATGGTTGTTCTTATTTTTATTACACTGAGATGGAAATATATACAACTATAGCACTACAAACCCTTAGCAGGCAAGTAACAGAATTGGACAAACCTATTTTGCTTGCTTGGTTCTCCAGCAGTCATGGCAAAAGAAAAGAAAAAACAAGGTAAATTAACACAAGTATGCCACACAATCACTGTAACTGAAAAGAGATGAACATTAATGAAACATTTCTCATTCCTCTTTATAGACCTAGCTGCATATTTGCAAATGAAAGCATTTTATGAGGTATTCTTTTGTTCAACTTCATCTCTTTAAAATTTGAAACTTGAGTGCCATTATGTAAAGTACATAGGGAGGAAGGAGGATCATCCTTAGTAGCATGACATATAATATTCTGTAAGAAAATGAACTATCACTCATCTTTTGTCATAGTTTTTCTATGATACAGCAAAGTTCTCCAATATTTCATCTTCCTTGCCATGCGCTGCAAAGACACAGAAATTCTGTGGAATAGGAGTTCCATGTAATATTCTGTGGAATAATGCTACATGACAACAACTCATACATGCTGTATTGCATACTCTTCTTTGTATCTGTGTAGTTCTGGGACAAGGATTATCTTTCTACTACATCTACTGGAGGACCAATATTGTAGAGAGCCAAGAAAAAGCAATATTGAAAAGATCATAATTTTGTCTGGTACTTGCAATACATATAAAGTAAGTAATAGAATTTACCAATAGAGTTTTCCTGGGTATGAAGTTCAAACAACAATCATCACAATTTCTTTCTGGTTGCTATATCCTTTAGGAGAGTGAAGAATTTAGTTTACGCAGTTAAGCAGGTAGGTAGGTAGGTAGCTTTTCTGCAGCAAGACTTTTTGTAGGTAAATGATCAATCACTGATCTTTGTAGCAGTAGTAGTTAATGGATATAGGGAGTAATCTAGGCTTCTGGTCTTCAGTGGGATATGGTTTGAGATTCTTTTGGCTATGGTCTGAACTAATTGAACTGATGCAGTATTCAGTTGAATAAGTGTACTTATTTTAAGATTTATAGAATCAAGGAATAAAATCCTTGTGTACTGTGCAGACATTACAATGTGAGTTTCTCCAGTGAAAATGATTTTTCTCAGATAGTTTAGTTGATCCCTTCCACATTCAAACTGGCATGGTTATAGGCAATTATGTCCACAGGGTTCTGGGGCAAGAGTTTCTGATTTTCTTTTGCTTTTAGGAAGTCAGTTTTATCAGATGTCTTCTTGGTCTCTTGGTACATGTGATGTTTCCATCTTGAGATTGTCCACGTCCTGCAGAGCATTTCAGAAAAATTTAGTGGCTTTTACTACTGTTGAGACAAACATCTGTTTACAAAGTTTCTTTCTTGGGGATTTTTCTGCAAGTATTATTTGATATGCTGGTTCTGCTTACATAGCAACAGTTGGGTGCAGCATTTAGTTACTTCATAAAGATAATAAAGATCATGAGTACAGTAATTTTCACTTCTGTAAGCTGATAGTCTTTGAGAGCTAGAAAGTGTGCCACCACGTTAAAAGGTCCAAATGGCTTCCACTTAAGAGTTTAAAGCAAGTTAATCTAATCTAATCTGGCCTTGTTCATAATTGATTACTCTAAATCTGCCCTTTATATATCTCTTACAATCCCTATCTCATTTGAGAGTGATAACATCTCTAGTAATCCAGGAATGTTCTTTAATAATAGGTAAAGAAGGATTCAATGTCTTTTACAAGCCTTGAAATATATCTGGATAAGTTCAATTTGGAGTATATGCATCCCTTTCTTATGGTGTTTGTGTATGTAGCTCTTCTTTTTGTTTGGTCATTATTGCAACTGCAATCTTGAGCGCAGTTCTGGAAATGGGACTATGATACAACCTTCCATTTACTTTCTAGTCGCAGCTAAATATAATAGAAAATAGAAAAACATGCAAATTCTTCCATTTTCAGAGCCATTTTTAGTTATTTTAGACAGTTTCATTTTGCATTTCTTAATTTTTTTTTCCCAAAACTAACATTTTTCCTTACACTCTATAGCAATCAACCAGTTTTTATAATTATAAAATGGAGATGATAAAATATGTCTATTCTTTCTTACTAAGATTCTTAAAAAACAGTAAATTTAGACTATAGTTTTGAACACTATTATAGCATCTAACAATTCATTGCAAGTAGAAATTTAGTTTTGAAAGTGAGTAAGAAATTTAGATGAGTGGAGTATATATTGATTCATGAGTTTGAAAAAAGATCACATTTGAAATCTATTGGGGATCATTATTCTTGTAAAACAGACTCCACTGGACTTGAGTAACTAATAAATTCAAACAGATATAAATAATTGATTATTACACAGGAACTTAACATTGTACTATACTTGGAATAATTAATCAGAATGAGAAATTACTTTTTAATTTCCAGTGATGAAATCAAGTGTTTTCTGTTGTTGGTGTTATTTGTTGCTCTTAGGTTATTTTGGATTGGGGAGGGGTTGACTTCTGAGGTTCTGGATTTTGTTCCCAATGTCCATTTTCAGTTGCACTTTACAGAATTATTGAAATATACAAATATTTAAAGATAATGGAAATAATAAATTGTAGATATTGTTCAGGAGGCATTCAAACAATTGTAATGAAATACTTCTATGCCTCTTGGGAAAATGTAAGTCAAAAATACTCAGGGTAGTTTCTATTTCTTTTGGTATGATATATAGTGGTCAAAACAAATGCAATGTGACCCATCACAAATCAGACATGCACAATATATCTCCTGAGAGCTTTGCAATTCTGCATATGTAGTGATTATATTATATTTTTAACCCATTTCAGTCTGAAATTCTACAATACTGCAGTAGTTTAAAATAATTTTGTAAACATTTCTGTCATTCTAAAGCTTCCACAAATTGAAATATGGTGAATTACAAAAAGAATTTCAAATATCTATTTAGCACAAACTGCTAAGCTTTATGCAAACTTGACAACTTTTAGAAGTTTTACAGCAAAGCTTCTCTGAACTTTCATGAACCACAGTAAATCAATTGCAAAAAGTTATTTCACTTTTACTGTTTTGTGTTGTATTTTTTAAACATTGCAATTTTTTGCAGTAGTATAGTATGCTATAGTAGAGCATTAACTGAAAGAATTAATTTCTCTTCTGGATTTTTAATATGAAAATTATTGTAAATGCTAACATCTGTTCAAATATATAAAATCTTGTGTGACTCCATTGTAAATATTATTTGATTCTACTTATTAATTTCATTCCATTGAAAAAAAGTTAAATGTGTAGCATTCTATTCAAATGGGATTTTAATAAACATTTACCAGAAGTGTTTAAGAATCCTGAATCTTTAAATTCCATGTAAAAAACAAAATCACCAAATCGTTAGTTAACATAATTTTGAAATATTTGTTGCAAGAGCCATATTTGCAAAGACAAGGAAATACTCGACTACAGTATTATGTTCCTATAGAGTTGAAAGTAATCATATTAACTAATTGTACACGTGATTGTACACTAGGACTCCAAGATCCCTCTCACAGTTACTCTTTTTGAGCCAGTGCCACCTAACCTGCATTTGTACCTTTGGGGGTTTTTTTTCTTCCTTAGTGTAAAACCTTGCTTTTTTCCACATTAAATTTCATTTTGTTGGATAGGGTTCCTTGTTCAAGTCTGTCAAAATCTTTTTGGATCTTGAACTTGTCTTCTGGAGTATCGGTTATTCTTACCAACTTAGTGTTACCTGCAAATTTGATGAGATCCCCTTCTATTCCTTCATCTAAGTCTGATTCAAATCCAGATTCAAAATCTATTCTTGATCGTAAAAAGCCACTGGGTAACTTCGGTCTATATTTTTCAACCTAGTCTACAAGAGTATTGCAGTATAGGCTGCCTTCAGCTGTTAGTAGAAAGGTAAGTGTAAACTTAATAAATAAAATTCAAAGAGATTTGCATGGGATTGGATTATTAGATGTACAGGCTATTGACTGGTCACTAAGGTCTTCATGCTGTAGCCTGAAAGAAAAGACATTCCTCTTTTGTTTTGAAACGTTTTACATATTTTCAATTTAAAACTAATTATTTTGAAGCATGTTTCTTATATAGATATTCTTCCTCTGTTGCAGCCTTTGACGTTTACCAAAGAAATGGTGATGGAGAAGCCAAGTCCGCTGCTTGTAGGGCAAGAGTTTGTGAGACAGTACTATACCCTGCTAAATAAAGCACCAGATTTCTTACACAGGTACTTCCTTTTAAATGTCTTTTCTTTTAAATGACCAAAGATCTTTTAAATTAATATTTTTATGTAGCTAAATTTGACTAAATGATATCTGTTCCAAATTTTTGTTTACAATATAAAGAAAAATCCTCTGCAATAAATTATAGAAATGTAAAAATTATCTAAATTTAGATTTTTAACTCTTACATTTGCATCAAATTTATCTTCTGTATTATTCTTTGGAGTGGATAGAAGAATAGGAAACTAATCAGCAAATTATAGAAAGTGGAATTATGTGGGAGAGATATTGCTCTGTCACACAGTTTAAACTTTTTTAAAGAGGTTCACAAAAAGTTTAAAGAGGTTCACAAAAATAAAACAATTGTTTAGAGCTGAACAGCTTAGAAATTTAATAGAATTTAAATATATGTATGAAAAAAACATTCAAAGTGAATGCCATATCATAAAAGTGCCATAAATAGTTGCAAATTGAAATAGCATGTAAAGAGCTTGACAAAGCTAAAATGCATGCTTTGTATTGATAGAAAAGTGCCTGGCAAACTTCTTGAAGGAAGTAAATGCACAAGACAGGGACTTGTGATCTCCTAAATTTCAACTATTATTAGTTATGATTGCTAGAGTTTAACATGTCATTGAACTTATTACTTAATCATATTATAATTTTATAGAATGCAGTCAAGCTGAGGGTTGAAGAGCATGCTCAATCATTCAGTTCTCCCTAATGATAATTTGAGGTATCTAATTCACTTGAAATAGGTGTATAACAAGGTATCCATAGTTGGTATATTTGTAAATTTGTATTTGTAAGTTGCATCTTATAGAGAGAACACTACATCTATTTCCAACACAGGAAATTCAGCACCAAATTTTGTTTATTTGTATCCTGGCTTTATTATTTTCACAAATAAACATAACTAATAACCTGTGAGGTGTGTTGGGCTGAGAGAATGACTGGCCCCAGGTCACCCAGCTGGCTTTCATGGTAAGTTGGGACTTGAACTCACAGTCTACTGATTTCTAGCCTGGTGCCTTAATCAATAGACCAAACTGGTTCTCAAATGCCAAAATGTCTCTCAAAATGCCAAGAGTCTACAGTTTTCAGAATGCCTCACATAATAAGAATAAAATCAAGGTTTGATTCAGTAAAATCTCATAGAAAAAGAAACAAAGTAGTACAGCAAAAATTATATTTAAATTTAAATAAATATTATTGAAGAAAGAAAATTTTAAATAAAGATTTAATAAAGAGTAAAGATTTTTGTGCCAAACTGTTTAACAACCATTTTAAGGTACATATAAAACCACACCCCTAATCTGTGAGAGGGCAGCACCTCTGCTGCTATTGTCCTGCCTCTTTAAGTCCTCTTCCCAGTCAGCACAGGAACCCTTGACTATAAAAGCTAGGCTGAGAGACAGGCGGGGTTGGTGTGTATCAAAGAAGGAAGGAAGTGGGTTTGTACATAGAAATAAAGTAGCCTGATTCAGTTTGAAAGAAATACTTTTCTCCAGTAGTAGAACTCACAAGGAGTTGTAGTTGGAAGAGCAGTAGGGAGAAGTGTAGTAGCAGTATGGAAGAATGGAAAAGTGGTGAGCAGTGAGTACTAGTCTGTGAAGGCTTGCCTGCATGTAGTGTCTAGGAACCTGTTTTGTTCTGTTGGCTATCTTGCTTTTAGGAGCCTACTGACTTGGGTATACTTAAAAGGAACCACAATATACTCTTTCATGTTCTTCCCAGCACACGGGAGAAAAGGCTCATAGCATTCAGGGTAGTATTACTAGTCCAATAATTGGAGTCAAAGTTCACATATCTGACCTCCAGGTAAGATGGGCAGAATATAAGTTGAGTAAATAAATAAAACAACTTGTTTTAAAGGTTTGGTTTTGGTTTCAAAATAAAATAAAAACCAAGAGAGTCCAGTTGCCTTTTATAAAAAAAAAAAAGAACACCTTTGGAACAACCATGACCTGGATAATTGACAATCTCCATAGAAACCTGCTTTAAAAGACCGTAGACTAAATATTCAAGTATCTGTCTGGTATTGAGAAAAAAAGATGTATCCAATTTCTAAAGTTGGAGATAAATTAAAATGGAATCCAATCAACAAGTTGTAAAATAAGAAATTCCAGGTTAGAAAATAAAGTACTTAAATTATCACATGCGATTATTGACTTTATTACTGCTTCAGCAGTATATTTGTATACATACACAATGTTTGCTTTCTAGTATTTTAGACTAGTGCTAACTACTTACGCAAATCCACCTACTTTTTCTGAGGTTTTTAGAAATGGTTTGCCATTGTTTTCTTCATAGGACCAAAAATGTGACTAACCCAAAGTCATCCAACTGGCTTTGTACTGAAGGCAGAACTATAACTCACAACCTTCTAGTTTTTAGCTTGGTGGCTCAAATTGGTTTCATTGAGTAGAGAAACGAGTGATCTAGGAAAAGAAGAAAGACAGTAAGGCAAATACTACGTTAAAATTCCAGTTGCTAAGGGAAATCTTTTTCTTGAATTTATAGTGTAGTCAATATACAGCCCTTTCATTCGGTTACTTTCTCCAGACTTTCTAGCAGAAAATATTAAATTAATTCAAATTAGTTCATTAAAGGATTACTATAATGCTTTTTTTCCCAACTGCATCTTTTGGAACATCTTTTGTCTGTGCCTAAACCTAATTTTGTGGACAAGCAGGAAAATGGAGTGTCTTCCACCTCATACTTAATTTTTCAATTGCAGATTTACTTAAAAAACTTCTGGCAGTACTAAAAAAAAATGACAGTTTCTATTTAGTACAATAAGAACAAGCAAAGGACAGAACCATTGTCTAGCAAAGCCCTCTTCTGTGTGTGGAAAAAAATTCTGACTGTTGGCATTTACATCCTAATTATAAATTACATTCATATACTTTGTTGCACATAGAACAAGGGTAGTCATGAGTCATGCACAAACTTGCTCAGCAAAAAAAAAAAACACCTCTCCCCCTATCTTTCATGCTGATAAAAGGACAGAATAAAACAAGTAGACTTAAACTTTCTATTGCATATGAAAATCACCATACACTGTCAAAATGTACTAGGTAGAAACTCATCCCTTTTTTTTAGAACTGCAAAACTTCTTTTGGGAGGGGTTTGTAAGAGGGCTTCATCTGGGGGCAGGGAGAGGCAATTTTCATATGTTAGGATTAAGCAAGCAGATGAACATATGAACTAGGTCTGACCCTGTCATATCTAAAAAACACGAGGATAAGAGGATGTGGCCTCAATTTTGTTTGATGTATTTTCTTCATTGCAAAGGTGTATTAATTCTACTGCATCAGATGATTCTATCTCAGATTTGATCCCACGTAGATTTAGATAACTATGTGGAATATCTGCCACTAGAAATATATAATCACTCAGTGATTGCTTAAGAACTAAAAGAGACAGCCAAAACCATTTGAAATCTTCTCTAATTCATTTATTTGTTAAATTTATTTGCGCACATGTCAACCAGAGACTATTCTGGGCAGCTTATAACAGGAAAAAAACAGAAAAATGAAAATCAGTGTAAAGAAAACAGTATCAAAATAATGAGACGTTTCAATATTATTATCTGTTACTTCCTTGCCATCTTCTCCCATTACTGAACTGATTGTTTTCTTGACTTTTTTTTCTCACATAAAAAACAAGAAAAAAGTCAAGGAAACAAGCAGTCTATTAATGGGGGGGTGGGGAATGGCAGGGAAGTAACAAGACAATAGAAAGAAAGCAGAACTGCTTAATTTGTTCTTTGCATCTGTCTTCTTGCAAAAAGAAAATATTGTACATCCCAGCTTACCAAAAACAAAGCCCTAAAAGACAGACTAGAAATTAAATTAAATTAATTTCTTACTTATTAAAATAAGAGAAACACTCATCTAATCTAGACGAATTCAAATTATTGGGTCCTGACAGATTTCAGGAAACCAGCTGAATCCCACCACTGATTATGACCATTTCCATACTTACAACCATTGCAGGTCACATGATCAAACTTCAGATGCTTGGTAACTGACCCATATTTATGATGGTTGCAGCATCCTGAGGTCATGTGATCCTCTTTTGTGATCTTCTGACAAACAAAGTAAATGGAAGCCAGATTCATTTAATAATAACATTACTAACTTAACACCTGCAGTGATTTCACTCAAAAACTGTGGCAAGGAAGGTCATAAAATGGAGCAAAATTTACTTAACAAATGTCTCAGCAACAGAAATTTTTGGTTCAGTTGTCAGAAGGAGGACTACTTGTATAAGACCTTAAATCAGAAATAAATAAACAGACCATAATACGTCTTTGCATGATTTGTGAATTAACTACAGAGAATGAGATTATGAGACAGATAGCTTCCCTAAATTAGGGATTTCTGTCTATTTCTACTCTTCTCATTGACAGCCAATTTTGGCTACTAGTTATTCATATTGATTATGCAAGATAGGACAAGATGTGATCTGGCTATGACACGTGCCATGTTATTGTTCACTAAGGTTGATTTGAGTGACCTGGCTGATTTGGCAATAGTCCCCTTCCTCCCTCAAAACTGCATATGTGTTCTCCCACAGCCCCCAACCTGTGTGCTCAGTAAAACAGGATTACCATTCCAGATAGAAAGAGTATATAATCTTCAGTCAGTCACTGTGTTCCCATTGCAACCTCAAAACAAGCTCAGGATTGTTTCTTCTGTGGAACTCTGGCTTATCTTCATATAAGACTACACTTAAGACTATGAATATAACTTAAAAGGAGATAACAGACATATTGCTTAATGATGTTTTCTTTTTGTATTTGTCCTGTGTTTTTAGAAACTTATTTGCTATACTTTTGGTGCTGATATTGGTTATTTAGTGACTGTTTAAGTTATGATAGTGTTGAACAAGGGGACTTACAACTGTTCTTTTTTTTTTTTTTTTTTGAAAATTTTATTGATTTTTAAAAACAAACATAAATAAAACATAGAACATAAAAACATAAAACATCTTTTTTGAAAGCAGCCTGATCCCGGGTTACATCTCTTCGTGCTCATTTTTATATTCCATTCCATATCTTATTACCATTCTATGTTTTCTATATAACTTCTCTCCTCTTTCAACTTTCTTAATGTTATTTTATTTATTTCATCTCAATTAAAATCATCATACTTATATTCTTTGTCTGTCCTGTTTCAGCTATCTATTACCTTTTCTCATTAAGCAAAATTTCTCCTGTGATCACTGATTGGAGTATGACGCCTTTATATCTTTCCCCTAAAATTGATATAATACATAACTTCCATTCGGATTCTGCTTGGTACATTCTAAAACTATACAATGTATTTTTTAAAAAAGAAAAAAATTATAAATATATAACATAATTAAAACAACAATCCATACCAATTCAATTCTATAATTAATATTAATATTCATTTAAATCTTGAACATTTTATACATTACTTTTCAAATAAGTATCATACTTCTATGGAAACACTTATAAAGTTTCCATAATTACTTTCCTCCCACTTCACTTATATTTTATAAAACATTGAGTAGTTAAAATGTTCCCATTCCTTCCTAGTTCAATTCTCTCATTTATTTCATTTCATTTATTTTGTTCACAAAAGTTTCACTAAATTACACTAACTATTTTATTCCACTTTTTAATCATATGTTGTTTCCAATTTGCTAACATTATTTCTATTACAAATATAACAATACCATCTTATGTACCTTTACAGAATCCCTTTTTCAATTAAATTTTCATCCATTATCTCTAAATAAATCCTGTTTCTTTACATCTTGCTCCAGACCTTTGTAACTTCCCTTCCTTCTTCTCTTTCTTCTCTCCCCTTTTTACCCCCCCCCCCCCGTCTCTCCACCTCCATTTCCCTCTTCTGTATTCCCCTTTTCTGTTGCTTTCCAACATTATATCCCCTTTTCACATTATTTTTTCCTTTTTTGGCTGTTTTTTTAAGTCTTAAATTCTCCATTCTCTTCCCCCCCCCTTTCCCTTTTCTTCCCCAGATAAAATTACTTGTTCATTAAAAATGGCTTCTTCTTTGTCCCAATCTTCTTGTTGCGCAGTCTTTTCTTGTTGTTTCTTGTAGACACCAATCGCCATTTCTAAGAATTGAAAAATGGAACCAAAGGAGCCCTTCCCTTCTTGTTCCTCTTCTTTATATTTTTTTAAATTCAATTTTCAGTTCATCCAGTTCATTCAGTTCATCCAGAGGTGATGCCATTGTAGAGTGTTTTTTTTTTAAACAACCACCCAATTGTTTTTAGTCATTCAAATATGATTTCCAAAAGTCCCAAAGTCACCAAACAATCCGAATACACACAAGCTGTTTCTTTTAACACTTTCTTCTTTTTTCACTTTCTCTTCTTGGGGTTACTATTTAGTTGCAAAGTTCCAGTTAAAATATATCCTTTAGAAGTCTTGTTAAGATTTAACTTTAAATTCTTTTGAATTCCAAGCAGTCTCCTCCTTCCAAGTCCTGCCCTTATTCTTTTCCTCTCCCTTCCCACTTATAGCAAAAAAAAAAAAAAAAAAGGATTTTTTAGTGTTCAGAAATCTTTATTGTCCCTTTGGCATTTAATTATATTTCCAGTTTAATTACCTGTTGATGCCAAAGCAGATTTTTCCGATTTCTTTATTCAGATCTTGTTGTTGTCAGCGTGAGGAAGGAGAGTGAAGAAAAAAAAAACTTTCCCTTTTCACTTTTGTTCGCTGCTTCCAACTCTTCTTTGGGAGTGATGTATCTTTTGCAAAATTTAAATTCCAGGGTACCTTAGTTGTTACTTTTTGTCCCGGTCAGCCAAAAACTTTCACTTCTTAACTTCCTCCTGCACTTTCTTTTCCAGCTGAGTGCTTCTTTGAGGTGGCCATTTCTGACCGCCGCTCTTACCGCCTTCAGGAAAGGGAGTTTAGCCAGCTGAGGAGGAGATGTGTGGCTCCCCTCAACCCTGCTGGGTCTCCCCGTCTTCACCACCTCTACGGGGTGGCTTAGCCCCGAAGCCTGCTGGCTCGGGGCGCTCCAGCGGTGAGCCCAGGCAGAAACTGCGCACGATCGCGGATTCCTGCCTGCCGCTGAAGCCCTGCAAACCGGAAGTCTCGGGACTTACAACTGTTCTTTGTAATTGTGGCCATTGCAGCAGCATCTGTGTGGTCATGTGGTCACTAGTAGGGTACTTTGAAATCAGCTGACAATTTCAGTGTTCAGAATCACATGTGAACACAATTTGCATCTTTACCTCTGGCTTCCAACAAGCAAAGTCAATGTAGAAGTCAATAGGTCACAGATTTTGATGATGTGACCATAGGATGATGCAACTCTGGGATTTACCTAACGAGCAATTAGAACTGTTGCATTGTGAGACAACGTAATCATGAGTCATTTTGCTTTATTTACGATCCAATTACTGACATTAAACAAGGACTACTTGTAAGAGTTGTTATCAATTGTATCTACTGGGTCAGTTTGCCATGGTGGTTAAGGTTTAGGTAAAGTATGAAAAAGTTATTAGATGAATTTGGGCTTGTCAGAACCTTCGGCCCTGTGTACCTCACGGGGTGTTATGTATGCTATTTTGAGATCCTATAGAAAATGCAGGGTAATATGGATGGATGAATGAATTAATTAAGGTCCTTTTATCTACCTCTCAAAGGCAATATTTTAGAGCATTTAAAATATGTTTCATTTGAAATTGTCAAGAAGAAAATATTTTAGAATATGCTTCCACATGATAATCTTAAATACTGTTTAATTTCTTTAAAGGTTTTATGGCAGGAATTCTTCTTATGTCCATGGTGGACTAGATGCCAACGGCAAGCCACTGGAAGCTGTATATGGGCAAGCTGTATGTATTATAAATCCTACTTGAAGTTGGATACTACAAATAAACATGACTCTTGATAATTAAAAGTTATCTGCATTAACAAATGCTATATTTACATGTTTCTGTTAAAGCTCACAATAATCTTAGTACCTTTAAAGTCAGGAGAAAAACATCTTTTGTCTCACCTTTCTTCATGTCTCCTCACTCCATTCATCTTCCTAACACTTAAATGCATGTGATTTGAGGGAGGGGGCTGGCTTATTCTTCCCATTTATTGTCTTTCTACTGTCATTCCTTGTAATACTTTCAAATAGTGTCCACTTACTGATTCAGCAACTGTTCAAAGATGTACTGGTGCTAAATAATAACTTCAGGCTTATTTATGCCCATTTATGACCTTTGTAGCATCCCTCAGTCATATGATTACCATTATAATTTAGTATACTTTTCTTTTTTTCCCCTTGCAGACCAAAGAGATTGGAGATTGAAAAAAAAAACAGACTGACTTCTAGACATCAAAAGCAGTGTGTTTTTATAAGCAGTAGGAAAGATTCAGACAAAAGAGAGATTACAACTTTTGCTTTTTTTCCTCTTCCCTCTCCCCACCTCTTAGAGCATAGAGATTGGAGAGAAAGAGATTTCAAGAGAGTAAGCTGTTTGCATAGCATGCCCAGCCCCAGATAGTCAGCATGATTCTGTTGCTTTCAATGTGTACATGCAGACACTTGAGTAGACACTTGAGCCATTCCAAAGGGCAGGGAGTGGTTAAGAGGCAAACAAAAGCTGAAGATGTGACAATGTTGACTAGAAAAAAGACACTGATTAATGATAATTGAAAACCCCTTCTGCACTTTATGCATGAAACAGAAAAAATATATATAGGACTGACAATTTTAAAAAAGTAAATGATAGGAAAAAAATGAAAATTATGTTGTCATTATAGAGTAAGAAGTTTGTGTTTATTATAAGTGTAAGAAAACAGGAAGGCAATTTTTTATATTTTTTCTTTTTTCCTGCACTTTTGACTTTATTCATTCCTTTTTTTCTCTCTTTTTCTCATCTTGTTAATTTATGTTAGGTTTTTATCTTTCTTACTTAAACATTTAATAAAGTTATTAAGCTGAAGATGTGCAACTGAGTAGCCTTCCCTCTTTCCAAGTGAAAAGAAGTGGTGATATGATTTGCCACTTAACTACTTACTCCTTTATTTAGCATCAGAGTTGCTGCTGCTAATTAGGATTGTTAATTGAGGAGTATCTATTCTACCACCACAAGTTATATTATGTCTCTGTACCGAAGAAAAAAGGATGTTAACATAGAGCCTGAACCTGCCTTGTTAGCAGATGATATTTGAAAATGTCTTTGCATTCACTAGAAACTTCCTAAAAGCATTGATTTTCAAACTGGCTAATACATTTTAATAAAGTTTACCACAAAAACTACAAAGGAACATTTATAAAATGCCTAATAAAAGAAAAGCTAACTATTGTTTTTCAGTGCTATTTTTTTCTACATAAAAGTATATGTTGTAGAAAGTTAATTTTACTTAGGTTTTTTTTTTTACTGTATTTGTGTTTAGGACATTCACAAAAAGGTGATGTCCCTGCAGTTTAGTGAGTGCCGCACTAAGATTCGCCATGTTGATGCCCATGCAACCCTGAATGATGGAGTAGTTGTACAAGTCATGGGGGAGTTGACAAACAATGGACAACCAATGAGAAAGTTCATGCAAACTTTTGTGCTGGCTCCAGAAGTAAGTGATATTTTGAATGTTGGAAGCAGTAGAGATTGCTCGACAGGAAGCACAGGGTGATTACCTTCTTATGAAGAGCTTTGTTTGGAATGAAACTTTTCCATTGATATGGTTCAAATAACTATTTCTGACATAAGGAGATTGCAAATTGGATTAATTTACATGCTGTTTGTTATTTTGAAGAAACTGTTAGCACTTAACACAGTACCCCACTGTGTCTTTATACTAATTAAAAAATTAAATAGTATATGAATGTAACATTTGTTCGGGTATTTTCCCACGTCGTTTTAGTTGTGCTTTTAAAGTTGTAGCAACGTTTCGGCAGAATCACATCAGATGAACACAATACAGAAGCCTGATGATGGCAGATGAGATTCTGCCAAAACGTTGCTACAACTTTAAAAGCACAACTATAATGACGTGGGAAAATATCCGAACAAAGCTGA